CCACACCCACACCCCGCCACCCACACCCACACACCCGTCTTTTGAAGTTTTTCATACTACGAGCCATTCGACATGATTGTAAAAATTTAGACAATCAATCACTGCTATTTTTCTTAAGTTCGCATAAAAAGTATAATATTTTAGACAAACAGCTAAATCAACTAGCCCTATCAATTGGTAAAGAGATTTCGCTGCTCGTGTATGTTTGCTGCGTGTTCATCAGTACCAGTAGGTTGAAAAAACAGTGTTCATTGGGAAATCACTTCAGTGTTCAACCATATTCGGTGCTCGCAGGTGCTCGTAGAATAAACTCACCGACTTCTATTCACTGGTCCTATCAACTCTCTATTTGAGAGTGTTCCTGGGTGTTCGGATATTTTACAAATACCCGGAAAGCTATCAAAGTATACAACGACGAAAAATATCTCAAATGCAAAGTACTTCGTATCAACATTTCCCTCTAAAAGAATCTTCAGGACTTATAGTAAACTAATGTATATTCAATAAAGCCTCTAGATAATAGTGTGAGTAGGTGCCCATGTGGGAATGCCCGCTGATTTTCAGTTAAAAGGTACCCAAAAACACCCCTCACAACCGTAGGCATACCCCACACCCTAAGAGTTCCTAGAGTTCCAGAGTTCTACACTTCCAAGAATTCTAAGACTTTTAAGCGATCTAGAGTTCCAAGAGTTCCTAGAGTTCTAACAGTTCTAGAGTTCTAAGAGTTCTTAGAGTTCTAACAATTGTAGAGTTCTAACAGTACCTAGAGTTCCTAGAGTTCTTAGAGTTCCTAGAGTTCTTAGAGTTCCTAGAGTTCTAAGAGTTCATAGAGTTCTAAGAGTTCATAGAGTTCTAAGAGTTCTTAAAGTTCATAGAGTTCTAACAGTTCTAGCAGTTCCTAGAGTTCCAAGAGTTCTAAGAGTTCATAGAGTTCTAAGAGTTCTTAAAGTTCTAAGAGTTCATAGAGTTCTAAGAGTTCCTAGAGTTCTTAGAGTTCCTAGAGTTCTAACAGTTCTTAGAGTTCTAAGAGTTCCAAGAGTTCATAAAGTTGTAACAATTCCTAGAGTTCTAACAGTTCTTAGAGTTCTAACAGTTCTAGAGTTCTAAGAGTTCATAGAGTTCTAAAAGTTCATAGAGTTCTAAGAGTTCTTAAAGTTCTAA